TTTTTTTTCGAAATACGGTGGTATAGGAAAGGTTAAAGGGGATGGCGACTAACAGATCAATATAATCAAGAGTAAGAAGTTTTCTTTTCAGGAAGGGGAGATCCGGTATAAGGAGAGGGAGAGCGGATCATAGTCTTTATATAAGGCAAAATAAAGGATAAGGATAAAGTTTTGGCGTTGATCAATCCCGTCTGAGGGATGCGCCCCGCCTTCAACTTCCATTTGGAATCGTAGTAGGGTAATGAATGCATATGTGGCCTATACAATGAATTGCGGTGGCCAGCCTATGTACAAGTCAATGGTTTTATCCTCCCAACCGAGTCTGGTGCCAATAACCGACCCCAGAGGGATGGAACTCTTGTTAGCCTAAGCGATTGTCGAACCCGCAATCGAACCCCTGTGAGATAGTGCGCCACTTGCCATTACACCACCTCATCCCTTAATCAATGCCAAATTTTTTCACTATTAGTCTTTTCGAGTTAACCAGGTAGTCTATACCTTCACTGTTGGTAATTGCAACTATCACGGCCAATCTCACCATTTCTTTGTGCAGAGACCCAGTTTGCACTGGAGCAATTCTGAATGAAATTCGAATTTATGAACACACTCCGAAAAGGAAATGATCGAAGTTGAAGACGTCACCCTCTTAATCTTTCAATTTGTTTCTTGATTTGGCCTTGTAATGGTTTATCACTTTCTGACTCGTTTTCCTTCCACCGTAGTCAGCATTCTGTCTTCCCGCTAGACTAGCCAACCACTCCATCTAAGGCTGATTGCCCTGGTGATGCACTCTGAGTAGAAGCAGAACTAACTACGACACAAAATTAAAGCTTTTAATTCAATAAGCTATTTTATGTAAGTATCCATGAAGCTGCGAAAGCGGAAACGGGTGCTTCACAAGGACGATGGAAGGATCGAGTCTCATAGGGGCAGACCTTGGCTAGACTCTTTGGAAAGTGATCAATAGGGGGTTAGCTTAGTTGTGGAGTTACAAATCTCCGATCCGATCCTCCGCTGTTCAGGAATCGTTATATGAGCCCATTTCGCCCTTAGTGGACCTGTTTCATGTAACAAACACATGGTGCACGCTACCCCCTCATCGACAACTGGTTGGCACTTTGTTTCTTGCTAAGACCGCGACCAACGGCATCCAGTAATGACAGAAAANAAAATATACAGTGGTCAGGGTAGAGGTGCAGAAAGTTTTCGTTTACGTTGCCTTCGGGTTGCTTGACAATTTCTTCGGCTTGCCTCCTACCTTTTGTTCTCGGATTGACAATAAGTTTTTACTCGCTGTGCTCTAAACCATCTCGCCTTCAGAAACTGATAAATAGAAGAATACGTCGGTGCTCGTTGAAGAATGTCCATCACTGGGCATTCCGATGTCGACATGGAGTCGTCGTCGGCATTCTCGCCGTCTGAGCCAGCCGTTGACGACGTTTTTGTCTCAAAGCATAATCAAAGCGCTGAAATCTACCAGGTTAGAATATTTCTTCAATTTTTGACCAATATCCATTGTTTCCTACTTTTTATTGTCTTCATTCTAGTAAATAAACGTGGATAGTTCAGATCTTCAAAGACGATGTCGATGCTTTGCTTTCTGGACGCATTCCGCAGCTTGAACAGCCTGCACTTATTCAGGTGACTTTAACTATTTTTTTCACTTTAATTTTCACTTTAACTGATTTGGCCGATTTTTTTGCAATTAAAACACACAATATAACAAACGAGTGAGCAAAATAGCTGAAAATGCGAAAAGAAAAGAAGAAATGAAGAGACGCGCTCCAAGTAAGTCGTGTATGTAGCTCAAATGAAGAGAAAAAGAAGAACAAGAAAATAAAAAATCCAAAGAGCATTAACAAAAGCGAAGGTAGTAATGAGAAGCCAAGAAAATTCAATGCAGATGATCCAGAAGAATGGGAGACAGCTAGTTGGATCTGGAGAGCAACCCGCTGCACTTCAGCCTTTTCTACTGGCCCTTTTCTACATTTTTAACCAAAATCATAAAAATATTTTGCTGCTTGGCTGTTGGTGAGGGGCGTATGGTCTGAATAAACAGCAAGCTGGAATTATTGAATAACAGCATTTTGAATCAGTGAGAACAGGTACTCAGCGGCATTGGCAAGGGCTAGTAACACGCAATCATCTCTACCTCATCATCAACCATGATTACCTTCAATTTCAGATTTTCTTAATAATCACATGAAGATGTTTACAGAGAATACTTCACACTAGCGAAAACTTGTATGTCGTGTTTGAAGACGAAAAACAACATTTGATGGGCGACGTACTCCTTTCATGGGCAATGAAGCAGCAAAGGGTATGTACCACAATTACGAAAACGAGGGGGCTTTATTGCAAGTGTCTTTTTCTTTCCGATTAGTTTCCTTATCTCCCCATACTTTGAACAACTTTCATAGTAAGCCTTCGGGATGGCGCTTTCAGAGCATATCAATAGCGTACCATAACAAACTGTGAACTCCGCCGTTGGTTCGAAATCCCACTTTACCTAGTTTTGCTGACTCGAATCCTGCCTATTAGGGGAATATAACCATGATCACACTGACTTCACCCCAAACATTCAAGCCCCACTGAAGCTTTCAGGGGAATTTTCAACAAATCTATCCCCATCAGTGAAATATGGGACTCTACCGACCTCTAACACATTGTTTAGTCAGTATGTCCATCATTGTGACAATGAGTAAAAGTTTCGGGACTTAATGCTGTTGATGGTAGAATAAGTAGCACCGAGCCACCTCCACTTTCACTCGGAGAAAGGGTCCTGGNGAATATAACCATGATCACACTGACTTCACCCCAAACATTCAAGCCCCACTGAAGCTTTCAGGGGAATTTTCAACAAATTATATCCCCATCAGTGAATTGTGGGGCTCTACCAACTTCTAACTCATTGTTAAGTCAGTATGTCCACCATTGTGACAATGAGTAAAAGTTTCGGGACTTGATGCTGTTGATGGTAGAATAAGTAGCACCGAGCCACCTCCACTTTCACTCGGAGAAAGGGTCCTGGTGAGACTTATCCTTGAAAGGGGTTAGACAATAATTTGGTTTGAGGAAATGTTGAAATGTTGGAATAAGATGTAGTTCATGGTGGTCCTTCAATATTTCCAAACTGATGAACACCCTGCTCAACGTTTTTCAGGTAAGCATAGGAACCCTATGGACACAACAGATACACTACAAGCAACTGGACGTGATACACCTACAGTAAGTCCTCCTCAACTAAAATGACTGTAATGATTGGGCCAAAAGACTTTCATGTGACTTTAGGACTTTTGTAATGGCAATGGTGTTACAGTAGTAAGTAGGGCTACATCCCCATTGTGATTTATTCATGGAATCTAACAATGGTCGTTTTTGGATTTTTGGGTAGAGACCGTGGTTGAGAAAAAATTCTATGACGATATTCTGGCATGTACCAAGTAAATCTTACTTACTGCTAATCTTATCATTAGTGGAATATTGCTCGGTAAATAGGAGAAAAAACCAAGTCAAACTTATGATTTGTTTTGCAAATTTCGACTCCCATCGTTTTTTTTTTGAAGTTTATGAATTGGGTAGGGCCAATAAAACGAGCCCTAAAATGTTAGAGCAAAGTCAACCCTAAAATTGATCTCAGCGCACTCGCTGATTTAATTGTGTTCAAGGTCTTTAATTCAGGTTCGAGTACTTTGGCGAATTACTGCAACAAACTTTGTCTGGACTCACCTACTTGAAGCAATATTTCCCCAGCCCTTCATTTGATGAGGTCAGTCCTTCCTGTATAAGCTGAACAGGTGCGCGCTATCCCTTGAAGGTAAATAATGAAAGTGAGAGACAGAAAAAGGAAGAAGCGACGAGATAGGCGGAACAAACAAAGTCAAGCTGAGTGGCATGAGATAAAAGATGAAGCTGGAGCTTAACAACTAGCGACCAAACGTTGTGTTCGGAATAGAGGAAAGGGAAAAGAGTACAAGCTGACAAAGAAGGAAAAATAAAGACAAGGGTACCGAGGAAGAAGCGAAAGGACTGGGAAGAGTCATTCTGAATAGAAGAGCAGTTTCAGTTAAGAAATCTAGGGGAAGGAGAAAGTATCATATAGAAAGCAGAGCAGCTTATAGTTGAAGGATCAATATTAGCTCTGCAAGTAAATCGATACAATACTTCAATGACAGATCATCTGTTCGTTTTTAATTGTACATTCATATTTGATACTTCCTTTTTAGTTATACTTTTCAGGCATACAATCGATTCTGCAGTATGGCACATTACTTCCTATACTATTCGGTCATTGTCAGTCGACAACCACCATCTGTAGTCGTCAAATGCGGCGAAGCGGAAAATCATCGACGGAGTCGATTCTGGTTCAACACCGAAATAAGGTCTTAAGGTTGTTAAAAGCGTAAACTAACACTAGAAAGACAACTCTCTTTGCTTTGGGCTGTTGCTTTTGCTAAGCAGCCCTACTAATTCATTTAAGAGGCGCGGGCCTCCTTAGTGTCCGTTACTGCGATCCCGCTTCATGCTTAGGCAACCTCTAAGAAGTGAGCATCATTGCCTCTTTACTGTCGTGTAAAAACGATTACCTGAGAAGTCGTGAACCCGAATCTGCAGAGAGAGTTGGTATGTATTGAGTGCAGTTTGAAGATTCTAAAGTGGTGATTCGGATGGGAAGCAGAAACGACGTGCTGCTGCTGTTTTAGGAAGCTTCACACAGGTTTTCTGACACCTCAGGGATCCCCTACTATGAAGAAATACTCTTATTTTGCCTACTTCTGTCCTTGATCATGTCATTGTTTGACTAATTTGAGCTGCGATACCATGAACACTACCTTTTACCCCGTGATAACCTTATCATTCAGTGCATACCCTTAATAAAGAGGCCACGGCTTTCGGGTTCCTATACAGTAGGTCTCGATACCGTTAAAACTCCAAAGAACAGCATTTCATCGTGCTACGATACTGTATTCCAGAGTACTGGGTGGACAAGCGTTCGGCGTTGAAGCGGTTGGAGAAGGTGCCGAAGTGAAATGCTACCTGATCACAGATGAAACAGCAAAACAACTGCTGAACAATGCTTATCTAGAAATGTTAGTACAGTTCTTACTTCAAGCATTAATTAGTAATAAATAAAATTTCAGCTCTCATTTATATCCCACATTTAATGTCTAGAGTTCCCGCTACACGCCGCTACAAGTCTATTGTCGCAGGACGTCGCTTGTTGTCATCATTCGGCTCTCGATGTTTACCGATACCGCCGACTTTCCTTCAGAAATCGCTTGTCGTTGCGTGAATAGCTTTCGTCAACTATAAACCTCACACTATCGCCTCTTGTCGTTTGATGTCGCGACTTCAGTGCAATCCATCCGTTTTTCCTGCTCTAAACCTACACATGAGCCTCAGTACCGATACTTCTGGATGTCATTATATCGAAATATGGATTATTGATATGAACAATTTCATAAAGACATTTGCCATTTTTTTTTNTTTTTTTTTGATCAATAATAGTATTCGTATGACTGTCATGTTGAGAAAACAATTTTCAGATTCGAATCCGAGGAATTCTGCATTGAACCACCATCGGCTGTGTTCCAGAAGAAGGATACCCGAGGATTAAGAGCGAAATTCGACGATATGGTGGGTCTATTCGTTGAGCCAATCACTCGTTTGGATATCACTGTATTTCTCCTAATCTCGTTTGTCGAAATCGTTTCTCAGTATGTTTCTACAATTAGCCGAAGAAAGGCGATACGATCACCGGAAACGCTTGTCACAATTTTTTATGAGGATTAGCCAAAAAAGAGGTATCCTAAAGTAAAACTATACACCAATGATAGGTAACGAGCCACAGTCTTCTGCTTAACTCCCCTAGATTTCATCGCCCCTTCCTTAGCTTTTCAGAACTTTTTCAGTTCCTTGTCCTTTTTTCCCCTGTTGTATCCACGAATTTGGGTAGAGGTCATGTAGCGGCAATTAACGCACCATAACACATGCAGGGTCTGGAAATGGAGTCTGGATTGGTACTAGCCCGAAGTAACCAAGCCTCCCATCCCTCCGAGGCCGCTTACTGGTCCCAGACTCGTCTAAGAGTCTAAAAGCACTGACTTGTGCATTGGTTGGTCACCACAACTCATTTTATGGGCTACATAAGCATTGAAACAGCCAACACGATTCTGAGCAGAAGTTAACGTGGGGCGCAATCTGAGAAACCGGGCAGTTAGCGCAAAAGCTATCTGTAACCATTGAAACTGTATGTGTGCTGTGAAGCTTCGTCACATTCGAGGTGAGGACTGGACGGCTGTGCAGTAGCGGTGTGACCGTTTCGTATAGACCCCTGTCAATGTGCCTCTAAAACACTATTTTGCACTTTTGAACCCATGGCGAGTCTCTCTGCCATGGTTCCTTTATCGAAAGCTCATGTATTTTCAGTGAATGAATCCTCTCAGTGTTCACCAAGAGCCTGATTTTCCAGATTTGTCTGACCTACCGTATACATATCCTTTCCAGCGTGTTGCAAAAAAGGCTCAACTTCGACGAGATTCTGTGGCATCGAAACGATACTGTCTCTGTTACAGTATTCGACTGAAAACGAATTGCGGCTTGGAGCTGGTTGGCAAGAAGGTAAGAGAGAAAAACAGTTAGGGTTCACTCATCACCAGGAGATTCAATATTCTCACTACTTATCAGGAATCCTAGAATTACGGACTTCTTTATAACCCTTTTTGCAACCTATTTACATCTATGTAAGGTGCAGTGAAGGATGATAAAATATAATAGTTGAAGGATTAGCCTAACCCATATTGTGAGCTACAACTATGCAGTAGCCTCATTTTGTCTCCATCAAAGCGATTCTAGTTAAAATTTGAACTTTTCTCGGTACTCCTCTATTCGATTGCCTCACTATATTGCGCTTACAAATTGACTTCACTTACAAAGTATTGGTTGGTAGCTGTTCCTTCTGTGAATTTTTAGAGACAATTCAGATAAGGCCTATAGCCTGTTCATCAACCATCTTCTCTTTCTGAGTCTTCAGGTCTCACTCCCATTTGCTGTCTTGGTAGGGCCCAAGTCCGATGTCGAAGCCAGGCTATTTTTGGAGAGGTCCTTCGCCGATCTGGTAAGAATTGGTTTGTATTGAATCAGTGACTTTTTGAGAGCTACGCTTTGAAAACAGACCTTTTAAGCGGGTGATTTGAAAGGTGCATACGGAAAGGAGGCGATATAAGACTTTATCAGGGCAAAAGAGAAGTTTCTCGAAAATAGGTGCTCCAGTCGAAGGTCCTCGCTGTAAGAGCAGCTCTATGCCTTTGTTTTTCTTGCAGTCTTTACAACTTAGCATGTTTAATCGCCTTCCAAGGCGACCTCGTAAAAGTTATTTGGGCTACTGTCTTATTTCCTCCAAAACTCTTGGTCCGCCTCTACTTATAATTTACGGAACCGGTCCTTCCACTGAAGTAAAAGCCCTCATCTGTGATTGTTACCTACTATGGCGAAAGGGTCAGGGTGGGACAAAAGTGTACAAAATTACAACTGCAGCTTAGTAAAACCCCGATTTAGAAAGCATTCTGTATCACCTCGCAGCCTGTTTACATAGAATTATTCATTTCAGGTCCGACACCCTCTTTCAGATATTCCAGCGCATGTATCTTGCACTGAAATGGCCGATGCGTTAGAAATGAAGTTTCAGGTATGCTTATTGCGCAGACTGATTTTCTATTTATAAAATTTTCACAAAATATGATTAAGGCCATAGTGGAAACACCTCAGAAGAACTCCGACGGCCCAGCGGTTGTACAACCTCGAATGTTCACCATGCAGGTAGATCTATCTGATTATTTCTTTCTGACTTTCTGATTTCACGGTGGATTGTAGGACTTTTTTTGGGCACTATTTACCCTTTACTGCCCCAATTTGTCGAGAATGGGTTGGATTTCTATCGATATTTTTTTCAAGAAGATGAAACCGACTAGAAACTTTCCTAGAGGGCCTAATTTGACAATGTCGCATCCATTCGTCATGAAAGTGCCTGGCGCCCCGCTACACCAAGTTTTAAGCAAGATTGGTAACCCAGCTCCATATAGCGAAGGCGCCTGACGAATGGATGCGACATTCGTGGACGAATGGATGAAATATTCGTGTTCTACGGGTCAAATTACCCCTCTAGGCAAGTTTCTAGTCGGCTTCATCTTCTTGAAAAAAATTCGATAGAAATCCAGCCCATTGTCGATAAAGTGGGGCAGTAAAGGGTAAATAGTGCCTTTTTTGTGCTCGAATTTTAAATATTCCTCATTTATTAGTTTATTTACTGGGTTATGCAGTATAAACTCTTCATTTACAGGCCAAACAGCATCTTGTGAACCGCCTCAAACCAACACAGCAAGGTTTCATTGCGTTGGACAATTTCATGAAGGTGAATTTATTAACATGCCAACCATCGAAAGCGCCAAAAGGAAGTGCGCAGAGATTGAACTTTCTAGACCACTTAGACAAACTCTACGGAAATATGGCAAACGTTATGGTTGTTTTGCTACAGAAAGCTTCAAACTTGTTGAGACCATAGGCTGAAAGAAACATGTGAGCAGTATCGAGTCACGAAGTATTTCTTTCTGAGAAAATGTCTGAGCGTGAACCCTTTAGAGTCTTCAACTTGGTAGAAGCATGAAACGTTTTTTAACATTGCCCTTTTGTAGTTGCCGGTCGCGGAGGAGTATCAATTACGGAAAAACTCCACAACCGAGGGCGAATGGAAGCTCGTGCCATTCTTTGAATGGTTCTTCAGATTGGCCGAGATTGTCAACAAATATCTGTACAGTATGTGGTATGATGGGTGAGTGCAATACTACTTACATTCTGTATTTCAAAGAGCTGAATTGGGGCAGTTTTGTGATGTGCCACAGTAGCAGGCATGATCCGAACAATGAGTCTACGATCTGTATCCACCAGTTCCGGCTACCACCCTCCGTGGTCGATATCAGATGGTTACGCGAGGTTGAAACACTGGCTTACCCGACTTTGTCGTCAGGGTTTTTATAGGTGCAATAAGGGCTCAAACCAACTCAAATGCTCACTGCCGGCAAAGGCTTCTAATAGGGGGCATGCCAAAAGGCCTTCTGAAGGCTGCGCTGAAGGGGTACAACAGGAAAGCAAGAAAAAGCGAAAGCGAGAAAACCTAGACTTTACCACAAAGTTGCCCATCGTTTACAAGACAGAATGTCGAGATTCATCAGAAACCTAGCGAGACTTATTGTCAGCGCTGCGAACGGTAACCGTTCTCTAAACATTGCCACACCTCTCAATCCAAGAATGCTAAGAGAAGATAAGCGGTAAGCTGGACTGTACGAGAACAAAGAAATAATGTGCCTTACAGCTTTGACGTATTATCAATTCAAACGCTTCTATGCTCAAATTTTCAGGCTAGTTTTCGGATTCTGCAGCAAAGAAGACGCAGAAAATCTTTTGCGATGTGTACCACGATCGGTGTTATTAGTTCGATTTTCGGATATTGAATATGCGAAAATTAAAATTTCTGTGAAGGATAGAAACGGAGGTAGGTTTTAATTGGATCTACTCTTCCTAGTCTGGGTTGGGTGGAGGGAGTTTGGATAGGTCACACTTTTGAAGGGTCGATAGGTTTGTAGGTGGATTAGCCAGCTAATCTCAAACTTGTTTACCACTTTCATTCAGTTTTCACATTAAAAAGGACGGCTTTATACCGAGGCTTCAGAAGGAACCTCAGCTGCTGTTCTACTCTCTAGGGATCAATCAGTTCTTGTGGAATCTGTCAAGCTGATGCCCTTACCTTGTAAACATCCGGGAACGAAATTTATTTATTGGCAGTTATTTCAAAGTGGGGCTCCCTGTCTTTGGTTAGTGACAAAAGCAGTTGGCATTTTTTCTTCAAAGAACTTCCGTCCCAGATAATCTGTACATCAACATCCCCTTCTCTTCCATTCCATTTTTTGAGGCGGAATAACAATTTAGTAACTTTGGAATCTCAGTCAGAGTGGCTAGTTACAGATATTCGACATCACTGGTATGAACATAGCGATCTAAACGCAAGAGTTCTATCAAAGGAATTGCTGGTCAACCAACGATTCTCTCAGATTGACTTGATTTATCCGGACATAGACATGGAGGTAGGAGCACCCTTGTACATATTTACATTCATACCATGAAAATATTAGGTTGATGCATAATTATTGCGGGTTTTTCTCAACAAATTTTATTAAACGAAACGATAAAAATACTGAACAAAAACATGTTCAAATAATTACTCCGGAAATTATCCACCATCTTTGTCAAGCACTGTTTCCCATTGGCCAGATAGTCGTATTCCAAAAGCGAAAAAGTTTTGATCCTTCAAGGCGATCCATGCTTCGATATCGGCCGTCAAGTCATCCAAATCGACGTAAGTTCTATTGCCTAGCCATTTTTTCAGCGAACGGTCAACGAGCTAATCCATAAAAGTTTTTTTTGGTGAATACAACAGATTTAGGAGCAATTCCCATTTCGTGGTTGACTTTGGCTGATTGTTCTATCGCCGAAAAGTTACTGAGATCGCGGAATGACTGCACCACCTTCCAATCTTTCTCGAAGTAGTTAAACCTTATTTCGCGAATATACGGATGGTTTTTCGAGTATATTCTTGTAGAGGAAATCAAGTAGATCACTTCTAGAAAAAACCCGAACTCAATATTCAAATTCTATCGAGAGAAAAAAAGCCGCGAAAAAAATCCGCAATAATTATGCATCAACCTAATAGTAAAAATAAATGCAATGATGTGATGAGCCTTTCTTTTGACTCTAATCATGGAATTCCTTCATTGATACGGATAATGCTGAGCATGTGATGTCAAACACGCAGAAATAACAATCTAGTCTGAAATCTCGGCCCAAGTAGCTACTGGCTGAGATTCCATACTAGATTGTTATTTCTACGTCTTTGGGTAGAGGTTGAACGAAATTTTCAGATAGCCGCCGGGCTCGAAAATCAAAGTTCAAGTCTGTTTAGGTAGCTCTCGGAGGACGGGAAAAACCGCGAGTACGAGTTCCACGAAATCTCCAGCCGGATGAGATCTACTTTGACAATCAGGGCGCCGCAACGTCGGCTTTCTAGTCTCCAACTCTTCAACTCCTTGCCACTCTCACACGATTCTATTATTGCCATTATTGTTTATACAATATAGTTGATAAACAACGAGATTGTGAACTTCACAATATAAACTGTTATTTTGAATCACCAGTAAACAGAGGCTGCGTATATGGCTGAATGCTTTATTAGTAATTGTTAAGCGTGTTTCAATCAAGTGCTATTCACAGATGAATGCTATCAGGATTACCATAGATTATCCGTTCCAATTTTTCCAATCCAAAGGACCAGATAACTTGTAACAACAGCAAACCATCAACAACTGCTTTTTATTGTCCTTATGGGTCATGGCAAGTTGTTTGAACTTTCAACATGAGTTTCCTTGGGAATGGTGCAGCTTCTACACTGTAGGTGAAGCTCGTAAGCGCATATACACGGAACAATCTTTGAGCCTTTATAACCCCCTATCTAAGCCCTTCTCCGAACTGACAGCGCCACATTTGGTAAAGGAGGGATCTGCAGATTTATCCTAGCGCGATATTTCATAAGACATTTAAATCGTGAATTTTACCATTAAATGAAGTAACAAAACGTCGTACGCTCTTAGAAGTGCCCATGAAGTGACTGTAAATACCGTGAAGGAACTGCCCGTAGTGAGAATAAGGGTGCCTACGCCTTTGCATTATTGAGCCGGTCATCTTAGAGTATATACAAGCCCGATGAGCGTGTGAGGATCCGATCCCACGAGCTTTTGAAGTGTAAGGATGGTCCTAACATCACTGCTTTACAAACTCTCATCGAACTGTCAATGTCACTTATTAGCTCTAAATTTATTAATTCTCAGTTTCCAAATAACATAATACTATTTACATGCGAAAAATACCCATAGTAACGACAACAACAATATGAACTATGTTGATTAACGTGTAGATGAAAAATAAATTGATGAGCATTATCTTATTATCGGATGATTGACAAGAAAAAATACAGGTTGTTCCAAACAAAGGAGATCCCACGAATAGTTGCTTAATCCAGCCCTCACATTCAAGGATTTCGTCCCGTGCACGTGAAATACAGTAACGCCAGCAATGCCCACCATTCACCTCTGGGTACCGGGTTTTGGCGCTTGAGTGTGTCTTCGGGTTACAGTATCCCACATTCATGGGTAAAATCCGGCTTATGAGACTTAGCTTACTCTAAATATGAATAAGAAAGAAATAAACATGTCATACTTTCACCCTATTAACAGGNAACGCCAGCAATGCCCACCATTCACCTCTGGGTACCGGGTTTTGGCGCTTGAGTGTGTCTTCGGGTTACAGTATCCGACATTCATGGGTAAAATCCGTCTTATGAGACTTAGCTTACTCTAAATATGAATAAGAAAGAAATGAACATGTCATACTTTCATCCTATTAACATGGGTAAATGGGGAACGCAAAAAGTAGGTGATTGCCCATGTGAACACAAATGAGCACGACTTTGCTTCGGGAGCCTCAAGTATCCCTGTTGGAACTTCATGAGCAATTTCCCCGCACAGTTCCCGAGTTTTAGCTTTGTTTCGATCAATCTTAATTTTAAGGTTTCTGCTACTAGTTGTGGGACCTCTTTGTTGTGGGACAACCTGTATGCCTGTATTATGATGCCAGATATATCAGGAACCATCTTATGCTTTCGAAATAACTTCTAACAGAAATGACGAGCTTGGTTATTGCACGATCCAAACATGGCTAATAATCGAGCAACACACATACGTATAAGGGAACTCCCCTGAGCAATGTAAGGGACTGAATAAACAGAACATGTAGGAATTTCATCGGCTCTACGGTATGGGTAAACATTTCCTGAAGCTTGCAACCCTATCCTAGAGGGTTTCTCCCTAGGTAAGGAAATGTACTACCAAATGCTGAATAGTAGGTAAATATCTACTGAACAGATCTTAAATTCCTAAGCATAGCGATATTGCTAAGCGTGGCTAAGAAATCACTCCCGATCGTACTGTTACAAACGGACTGGCGGATAATTAGATTTGTGGGGATAGCACCACTTTTCTGGCAAAGTTCCAAGGACAGGAAAAGCTAGATAACGGCAGTTCTAAAACGCGAATGAAAGAGAAGTAAAGGAAAAGCCATATATGACAGGGAGACGGTCAATTGGCGCGATCCCGCCCATTCGACACGGTTTGCAAACTGGATAACTCGCCCACGTGATTCAACTTTCTGATCATGCTAATCGATGCAAATATGCAGAATACTTATAGGTCCGCAATTTGGCGTTCAATAGTGGCGGCGTCATCGATCGGGCTTCTGTCAGCTGGATAGGCAGTCGATTGGTTGCCCGATCACCTGGACGAGTTGTCCAGCTCGCAAACCGCGTCGAATGGGCAGCGCGATGGAAGAGATCGCCCGAACGATATACACCCTATATGACACTATGACAGTAGAAGTATAGTAGGAGAAGGGCAGAGAAATGATATTTTGTGATGGTTCCAAATGAATTTTGCACGAACTTATTAGATCTTCTGAGGCCAAAATCAGAGATCATTGGTATACCCTTTTATGGGAAAAGGATTTCAATTGGTATTGACCCTTCAATAGGGAAAACCTGTGCATTACAGCTTTGTAGAGGGGTTAGGATAAGGGCTTCGATGTCAAGAAACCTCAGATTCATCAGTGAAGATGACCTTACTATTTCGTTTTGGTGACGGTGTAAGATTGCTATTCACATCGGAAGAGGCCTTTCCTTCTTGTCTTACTGTAAGGCTTCCTATAAGGGCATCCAATTTTTGATTTAACTCTTTACGAAGATTCTGAATTGCCTCCAGGGATGCTGCGGTGTTGTCGGAACAGAAGGGCACACGCGATGGTGATTCGGGAGATCTGAAATTGGCTCATATTGGATGTGGGAGTTGGAAATATCACTGTAATATCCCACAGCTAGGTCAC